AGCCTCTGGGTCCCCTTCTTCCTCCTGCTGTTTACATGCAACCCTCCTGCCCCTCTCTCCTCCCGTGACTGCACCTACGTCCACACATTGCTGACCTCCAGAGTGTCTCAGAACCCGAGACAGCTGAAAACAAACAGAAGACGGGAAGCGCTCTCTGGCAGGAGGTCCCCACCACCCAACAGTGATCGGAGCCCGACGCCTGGCTGGGAGGAGCCCAGGGACCTGGCGCAGGGCTCGGGGATGCGGAGACCGTCAGGCCGCAGAGAAAGGTGCCTGGAAGGGACGGAACTCTCAGGGCTGGGGGCCGACACCTGAGCCCACCCCCTGACCCCCCTCCACACACTGCCCTCCCCAACCTGGCAGCTTCGCCCACCTGTCCTGCAGCCCTGCGCATCCCTGATTGGCCTGATAAGAGTCTCTCAGCTACTTGTCCCACCTGTTTCTGGGTTAATTTCATGTCCTTTTGGAGAATCTTGTTTTTTTACATGGAAGTAATCCATGTTCACTGGCGAATTCAGAAAGCTAGGATGAGCAAATGGAGAGCAGCACCTTGTATGAAACAAGCCCTGGAACTCTGATGGATGTCTTTCTGTCTCCTCCGTGTCTACAAACGCTGGCATTTATAAAACCTGTACCGAGCTGTGATGATGTTTAAAGCTCTTCCTTGTCACTCAGAACTACCATGTGCATTTCTTTCCATGGTATTAAGTCCCCTATTTTTGTAAACTTGAAGAGATACAGACATCCATATATCCATATATCTTCCAATCACTGTTGGATGTGCCGAATCTTTATCAACATCCACATTTATTTCGTTAGAATGAAACTCTAGAGGTGGGGGTCACGAGATGAAAATATGCAAAACGTTCGGGTAAAATAACTAGTATGTATCTAGTTAAGTACCTGTCTGAAGGTTTCTTCCTGTTGACAACCGCTCTTAAGGTGTAACTGTTGACTTTTTCGCATTTGGTGTTATCACATAGGTAGATAAGGCATCAGACTTCCTTTATTATTAGGGAGTTTGTCATGTTTACAGGGCACTTCTCCCTTTGTGCTCCCTCGTCATGTCCCAGCCCGCCCCGCTCTTGGAATGTTCATCTTTGTCTCTCTTCGTGAAAGCAGCGTGCCTGTGAAGGAGACCAAGCTTTCCTGAGACACGATGACCTTCCCCAGTCATTCGTCTGTTAAACTCATTTGTGTTTTCATGCACCAGGAGGCTCCACTCCTTCCCTCACTCCAACCCCGTCTCAGGCCGCACTGCCTTCAGTGCTCTTTCTTTTGAGGTTAGGATCTCTGTGACAGGCACAGCTCTTAAATCTCAAGAGTTTTGCTCAGTGTTCACCCCGTGTGGCTCCCAGCGCGGTAATGTGTCTGCACCGCTTCAGAGCGAGCTCTTATGCCTGGTTCTCAGTTGGTCCCGCCTGCCCCCCCACAGGACCAGGCTCCTGACTGCAATCCTCATAAACAAGGAGGCTGGTTCCCCAAGTTCATGTTAATGGAATCATGTAGTATCTAATCTTCTGGATCAGACTTTTTTTTTTTACCATGTTTTTAACATCCACCTGTGTCAGCAGTTCATTCTTTTTATTACTAATATTCCCTTGCAGGAATATGCCCCAATTGGGATTTATCTAGTTCCTTGCTGACGATACCCCAAATTATAATTGTAACATAGTCAAATTGATCAAATTTCCCTTTACGACTGTTGGCAGTGTCCCATCCCATAACCCTAGAGAGGTGTCCACTAACAACTTTTCCTTCATACTTCTATGGCCTTTATTTTTCAACACTTAAATCTTCACTCCATCTGATGAGGTAGGAATTCAACTTCATTCATTTCTCTCTCAATGATTGGCAAGGGTCCTATCACGCCGTTTTCTCACTGCTTTGAAAAGCTGCCTTTACTATAGTTTAAATCCTTACAGGAGTGATGTTCAAAATATTTGGAAGTTGGTACTTGCACAGAGCGCACATACTGGCTGGATCTGATAAGAGTTCTTCCACTTGCTTGGGGCTGTTTCTTTACTTTCTATTATTTTCCAGCGATCTTGGCCAGGACCATGCAACTGTCATCATGGAGCCTGGATAATATGTTTTGTTTTCTGGGAGCACAGTTTCTGATTTCTCTTCCTTTGGACTGTTCTCAAATGTTTATCCTTCCAGCTGAATTAGTCAACCATTCTGTCAATTCCCATGAAGTTCCATTGGGATTTCATGTTATATTTAGGTACTGAAAATGTTCTTTTGCTAATGTAGATTGGGAAATGTCCATAGCTTTGTCGAATGCATATAAAATGCTCAGCACAATGGTTGCCACATGGCAAATATTCAATAAGTATTAACATAAATAGTTTAGAATATCAGTTTTTTTAATCCCCCCTCATGGATCACAGCCTTCTCCTGGCGCAGGGGCTTGCATAACTTGATAACACTCCGAGTGCTGCTGTGCAGGGTCACCGAAGATGGACGGGTCACAGTGAAGACTTCTGACAAAACATGGTCTACTAGAGGAGGACACGCAAAAATCACTCCGGTATTTTCACTTGAGAGAACCCCATCAACAGCATGAAAAAGCAAAAAGATACGATACCAGAAGGTGAGCCTCCTGGGTTGGAACATGTCCAACATACTACTGGAGAAGATCTTTATAATTGACCACCTTACTGAAGTAATTCTAGACTTTTAATTTTTTCTGAGTCTTTAGTGCCATCTTTATTTTTGAGCAAAGGACTTTTTTATTTACAGTGGGATTTGTGTTCTTTTGAAACAAAGCCCTTCAAGTTGGGACTCTGGGCAACACCTTTGTAGGAAGCCTCATGAGGACGTTACTTGGTGTCCTGGCTGTCCCTCCGCCTTTGAATCTCAGCCCCGGCCTTAGAGACCCCCCCTCAGAGTGTGCAGACCTGCGGTATTGAGCTCTTGCTGTCTGCTTTGAACAGGTCTCCTTTGGCCAGACGGCATCTCAGAAACCTGTGGACAGACATAGCCACCTAGGCCCCCAGGTTCCTCTTCTGCACTCACCTGGAGGAGCTCTCGGGACTTCCGGGAGGCCTAAGTGGCAGAGAAAGGGGCCTGCTCATTTCTGGGCTGGGATTCTACCTTTTAATGAGACTGGCTTAGGATCCACATCCCTGAACTCCTTGGTGGGACTCTTCCTTGTGGCCCGTCTCTCTCATTCTGTACTTAAACGAGTTTTACTAGACACATAAGCAGCATTTTCTCCTGACTGTTGTACACATTAAATCATCTGTGAAATGACTTTGTACTTTGATTTTTATCATCTAAATGTTCCTCAGCCTCTGGTCTTGTTTCACCTTCCATGAAAATCTGATAAGGGTATTGCTTCTATCACTGCCCAGGTCACTAGTAGTCACTTCCTTCAGCTGTGTCTGTTTTAAATTTTTGCCATTCACCACTCACTTGCTTCAGAGTTAAGCTATCTCAGGACAGGCATTACTATTTATACTGCCCAAGGTTTGCTAATCATTACTTATTATTTCAAGACATTTTCAGTTCAGGTCAGTTCAGTCACTCAGTCATGTCCGACTCTTTGATTCGCCATGAACCACAGCACGCCAGGCCTCCCTGTCCATCACCAACTCCCGGAGTCCACCCCAACCCATGTCCATTAAGTCCAAGATGCCATCCAGCCATCTCATCCTCTGTCATCCCCTTCTCCTCCTGCCTTCAATCTTTCCCAGCATCAGGGTCTTTTCAAACGAGTCAGCTCTTTCCATCAGGTGGCCAAAGTATTGGAGTTATGTATTGCAAAATACTTTTTCATTTCAAAAATTGTGTTTTAACCCACGTAGCTACATTTCTTCTAAGAATCACCTACCAAGAATATTAAAACCAATCTCTGCTCATTTCCCAACGGAAAGGCCCTTATAAGGCATCAGGGGTCTCTATCAGCATCCTATCCATTGGCTTTGTCAGATACTCCAACAGGTTTCAGCTCAGTCTGTCTCCAGGGTTATTCTAAGACTGACAGTTAAACTGGCCTGTTCTCCAATTTAAACTCTGAAGAATCTAACAAAATAATTACAAAAGATAACACAAAGTGGTGATTTTTATTAAAACAGTTACTTCTTCTGCTCTCTCTGGAAAAGCGCCTGGGCCATGACACTTGGAGAAGCTCAAGCTTTAAGTCGGTCAGTGATGAAGGTTATGGGGCCTTTTTTCTTGGAGTGACAATGGCTACAGGGTGTCGGCTCAGGACCCGCCCTGAACGCCACTCTCTGACGTCGCCATCAGTTTCGGCAGTCTGTCCACCTTTTCTTCTTCTCGACCAAGTTCTCAGCTAGGAAGTGTTCCTGTCTCAGCAGACCTGCCTGTGTGTATATCCTAACCTGTGCTGCTGTGCTTAGTCGCTCAGTCGCGTCTCTCCTCTTTACGACCCGAAGGACTGTAGCCGGCCGGGCTCCTCTGTCCATGGGGATTCTCCAGGCAAGAATGCTGGATTGGACGGCCAGGCCCTCCTGCAGGGGGTCTTCTCGACCCTGGGATCGAACCCAGGTCTCCCGTATTCCAGGTGGAATCTTTACCATCTGAGCCACCAGGGAAGCCCAATCTCACCCTACAACTTTGGTCTTCGGTTTCATGCTATAAAGCCTATCACCTAAGGACATTTTACCTTTGAGAGGAAAAAACACCCTTAGATGCAGTCCTCAGGTGAGCGCCCCATATTCTGCTTTCCAGGAAAGAAGCTGCTTTACTTGAAACACAACACTGTTATCTAACAACATTTGGCTGTTAAATCTCAACTTTTTTGAGCACAGGTCACCATGTTTGGTGTGACATATCCAGAAAGGTTCAAAGGCTCTTGCAGGGAATCAAGTTCAATGGAAGCGAAATCATTCTAGAACCATAGAGATCCCATGCAGCATTTTTACTAAAGCAAGCTTTTTTTTTTTTTTAAATAAACAAAAGTTCCGAAAAGGCTGCAGCTTGAACACCACTGTTCTCGATGTTTTCTTCTGTGGGGGCTCCATCCTTTGCAGGAGGACCACCCCGCCCACCCCACGCGGCAGGGCTGTCCCCACGCAGGTGTGACACTCGGGATGGGCTGCCCAGTGGGCTTCACAGCTCCGACCTCGCCGCAGACCCCACCACGCCCTCCAGGGGTGCGGCCCAATGGGTCTCTGAAGGCCTCGGCAGGGCACAGCACAGACGCTGAGCACTCAACGAATTGGCCGGTACCCCTGCCCGAGGTGCACGCGCGCACAGAACGTCCGGAAAGTGGGTGGGAGGCCGTCTCTGCGGCCTCCGCCCGGGACCGGGAGACTAGGACCACACTCGGAGAGTGCTCGCGCAGACCCTGGCCCTCCGCCGGCGCAGGCGCACTGAGCTCACTCCGCGCCCGCCGGGAAGGCCGGCCGGCCCAGCCCCGCGCCCCCAAGGCGGCGTTCCCGCCGCGGGGCAGGGCGGGGCCCTTCGCGCCTGCGCACTCGCCCTTCGCACCGCCCCTGCGTCGCCTGGAGCAGGCCGCACCACGTGACCGCTGCCCGTACCCAAAATGGCGGCCGCGGCCGGGCCTCACCGGCTCCCCTCTTCAGCCCGCGCCTGAGCCTCCCCTCGCCAGGAGCACGGCCCTTCCGGCCCTCACCGCTGGGCCCCGAGGCGCAGCTCTCCGGGGGCGGCGAACCAGGCTCGCCGGAGCCACGGCCCGTGTTGACCGTCACCACCCGCCTGGACTCCCAACATTTTCCCAACCGTCAGGCTCCCAGCGGCTGGCGCCTGGAGCGTCCTCTGATAGCCCCGCCCCTGGGATTGGCAGCTTCGGCAGCCAATGGAGACCAGGAGGCGGGCGGGGGCGGAGCATCCCTGTCGTTCGGAGGGCGTTGGGCCTGGCGAGTTGGAGGCCGCGGGCCGATGGGCGGGACCAAGCGGGGCTGTTCCCGCGACCCCCCAGTGGGCCAATGGGAGGGCCGCCGGGTGCCCGGGGAGGGCGGGCAGGGGGCGGGGCCGAGCCGTAATTGACGAGCTCTTCATTAGAAACCGGGCGGGAGGGAGGGGCCCGCGAGGGGAGGTGATGCAAGGCTGGCGCAGCCAATGGCCGCAGGGCCGACGGCGGGAGGGCGGGGCCGAGGCCGCTGACGGGCGTCGGGGCTGGCCTATCAGCGCCCGCCTCGGTGCCGGAGGGGGGGAGCAGCATCATGGTTCAACGTGGGTCAATTTTTTGTGAATGAGGAGGGGAGGTTGTGGGGCCGCCGCTTGCGGAGCACCGTCCCCGCCGCCGCCGCCGCGCCCGAGCCCGCGCGCCCGCCCGCCCGCCCGCCCGCGCCGCCGCCTCAGCCGCCTGGGCCCGGCGCGCCGCGGCCGCGTCCCCGCCGTCGCCGCCGCCCGAGCGCCCGCCCGCCGCCCGCGGTGGTGGTGGTGGTGGCGGCGCAGGCTGAGGAGATGCGGCTCGGAGCGCCCGCCGCCGCCGCCGCCGCGGTAAGCGCTGCCCCGGCCCGGCCCCGCGAGCCATTGTCCGCCCCCCGCCCGCTCGCCCGCAGGCCGCCCGGCCGCCCGCCCGCCTCCACGCCCCCGCCGCCCGGCCCGGCAGGTGGACGCCAGGGGTCCGCCCGCCCGGCCGGCCTGGCCCCGGCCCGGCCCCGTGCGCCCAGGCCGCGCGGCCCCGCGGGCGTCCGGAGCGGAGCCGGAGCCCGTCCCGGACCTTCCCTACTGCAGCCCCCCGGCCCGGCGGGGGCCGCCCGCGGGGCGGGGGCGCAGGACGGCCGGCTGGCCTCCCCGTGGCGTCCGCTCCCGTCCAGGCCGAGCCCTCGGCAGGTGGGCCGGGGGGCTCCCGAGCCCCGGCGGGCGCCGTTTATGTAACTTTGTCGAGGCTGTGAGTTTGCAGAAAAACGTCCCTCCCGGGGCTGGCGGGCGGGCGGGCGGGCGGGGGTGCGCCGTCCCCGGGTGTGTGTGCCCCGGACCGGAACGGCAGGGGTGGGGCGCCCGCGACCCGAGGGGTGCGGGCAGGCCGAGCCCTGGGCCCCGTCCTGCCCAGGTGACGGGAGCCGCGCTCGGCGGCATCGCAAGCGCACACCGTGGCATCCGAAGCAAATTATCTCGTATTTACATTGAGCGTTGAATTATTTGACACTGTTATAGCAGGAGATCGTGCGTATCAGTCGGAAAGGCCGGGGGTGGAACCCAGTGTACTCATTTAATGCACATCAGAAATTTGTAATAACTTGCAGCAGCTGATACGAGTGTTTTCTTTATTGCATGTTGTAAATTGACCTGCTGTGACACAATTTTCAAATAAAGTGTTGCAGAAATTAAGCTCAAGTTATTTTAAAACTAATGACTTTCTTAACTAAATCCTAATTGCATTACTGTAGAGACCTACCTAATTGCTGGCAGCAGCTCTCTGCCTGCCCTGGGTGAGGGAGGGAAGGGGAGTTACTACTTTCCTTCCCCTCTTCCCTCCCGCTCAGGCTTTTCTGTTTATTCCCACAAACCACCTAAGCAGAGGAGGCCTGGGAGTAAACATGTAAACAGCCCTTGCCCAGCGCCAGCCTAGCTAGACTGGGGTAATACTGGTGGGTCTGCACCTTGGCCTGGTTTCACTTTTTCTTTTGTACCGTGATCGTCGGTGGCCTGGAGTTTTAGTTGCTTCTGATTATCCTTTCTTTGGGTTGAGCCAGGAAAGGTGGTGGTGGTAACTGGGGTAAGGGGGCAGGCGGGGTGGGAGGGGGGGGGGTACTGGGGAAGGAGTGGGATTGAATTAAGAAAACTCAGCTGCTTGTACACAAATATACACTACAGCAATTACAAAGCAACAAAAGTTATTGCAGAATTTTGCGGTCACTATGGCAACACAATTACTCTATTATAATTGGAAATGCAAAATGCCACCCTCTTCGAAGTTTCATCAGAAAGGAGTTTTGGATATCAAAAATATGTGAGATTTATTTTTTTTTTCAGGTAGCTCCTGAGAATTCTCAAATCTGTGTTCAATTATCTATTTTTAAGACCCATCAAGCTTTTCCAGATATTCTACTCCCTGGGCTCTGTCGCATCTTTCCCCAGAACTTACATTTGTGTGGGAGGGAAGTATTTTCCTGCCTTAAAAACACACACCCTGACACATTGTTAGACTTCTATGGCTTTCTGTGTTCTGGGCTTTTATTTTAAAGATTAAATACCTTCCTAAAGAGAGCAGTAATCAATCAGAAAAGAAGCACGATTTATGCGGCAGGCAGATGTAACACTGCCCTCTTTAGGGTTAGTTCTCTCTCCCGCCAGCGGAACTGGCAGCAGGAGCGCCCCTGGGAGAGCCCTGGGCTGGGGGTGTGTGCGGGGGTGGAGGCCTGCGGTCTGCACGGAGGCCCGCGAGGCCTGGGGACCAAGGACAGATGTGGCTTCAGCAGCCCTGAGCCAAGAGAGAATGTTCTGTGGTCAGCAGCTTCACAGCCATGCGAAATAAAAATCTCTAAATGCCATGTTCTCAGAGGCCTTGGGGGCCGTTACTGTAGCAAGACGGGCAGAACAACATGGCCCCTGGGCCACGTGGGTCCAGAGCGCAGAGCTTGGTTCTGTGGCCAGAAGCATGCTTTCTAAGGATGCCCCTCGTCGGGTTTACCAGGAGGACTCCAGTTCTGGAAGTTTCCACGCATCGTGGGGTTGCTGCAGTTGAATTTCGTTCTCTTTGCTTTTAACTACTGCATATTTATGTCCAATAATCGACTTCCATTTTCCAGCTGCATTGTGAGGTTTCAATGCAGTATGAATGGCTTTGAATTCTCATCCTTTGATGTTGGGGGTGGCACCCAAGGAAAGGCGACTTTGTGCCGTCTTAATTGCCAGAGCAGAAGAAACATTTCATCACTACTGGAGAATCCGTCCGTACCGTTCTCTATTGAAAACGGCTGGGCTTTCATTGCTCAGAAGCTGCCATGAGCTATAGATTGGTACCTGATGGAGGGAGCGGGGGAGATGCAGAGAGCGGGGGACGGCTCCGCTGGGGCTGGCGGGGCGAGGGCCCCTGGACCCAAATCCCTGCTGGGGATCAGCTGCCGGGACGGGTCAGCCCTGTCCCCGCGGAAGCTCCCTGATCCGTGGCCCTTGAAGCTGAGCCCAAGTCCCCACCGAGTCCCCACCATTCTAGCCGCAGGGCGAGATCTGCTCCAGTTGGTTGCAGCCCCTGCTGGTCCTGCGGTGTGGGCCGTGGAGCCAGTCTGGAGGGGGCTTGGTTTGAATCTCAGACGGTCAGTCGGGATACGTTGCGGTGTGCAGTGGGTTGGGGTCTTTTGGCCTTGACTTAGAGAAAAGCATAGGGTCTCTGGTTCAAGTCAGACGAGGGGCCCTGTATCAGAAGTGACGCTGCGTCTTCACACCCCTCAGCAACGTTGTTCACAGGCTGTTTCTTTGGGGAAATGCGTCACTGAGCTCAGATCAGAGCTCCTGTTAGGAGGTCATTTTCTTCTCTTGGGCTCCTGTAACTGAGGAGATCGGGTAGATGGGTCTGTTTCGGGAGTGGGGTGGGCTCTAGGCTGCCTTTTCTGTTCGACGCGCCTTCTGCTGGTTCCGCAGGCGAAGGGCCCCACACAGGTTGCCTCCCGTCGTGGCGGGGGCAGACCGGCCCCTGTATCAGCAGAGGTGGAGTCAGCCTGGTTCTCTTTGCTGATGAGGAGGTGATGACACTCCTCCAGTTGACCCTTGAACAGCGTGAGCTTGAAGCACGTGGGTCCACTTAGCCACGGGTTTTTTCAGTTAATACTACACAATCTGCTGTTGTCTGAATCTGGGCTGTGGAGCCATGGCTATGGAGGGCTGACTATAAAGTCATCCTTGGGTCCTCCACCGTGTGTGAGGCTGGCACCCCTCACCCCCACGTGTTCAAGGGACAGCTGTGAATGTAGCTTAGCCCAGTAGCTACCATTTGATGAGCAGCTACTTGGGGTCATGTGCTGTCGTAAGTACTCGCCATGGGTACCCCATTTCTCTCTCCCCGTGGCCTTAGGAGGTGGCTCCTCTTAGCACACCTGTTTTGCAAGGGAAGAACCTGAGATGGACCTGAAAAATGTAGCGCCTGGTGCCACTGCCTGTGTTAAGCCCCCGAAGCTGACTCCTCCTCTTCCACATCTCTGCTTCTGAGTCGCTGATGGTCTTGAAGCTGAAGTTCAGCATCGTCCGAGGAGGTGTCTGGGAGAGCACAGCCTCTTTGAGAAGAGGGCCGTTGGGAACACCTTTTAGGTGTAGTCGTGCGGGGTGGCATCAGAGCTGTCATCGGCGAGTCTGTGCTTTGTAGGGTTTCTTGCTGTCTTCTCTGCTGCGTGTGTAGCGCTGGGAAGGCTCCAGACACCCCTGTCGGCCAGCGGTGGTTGGCCCTACGCTTGGATCTTCTCCTGCGGCTGCCTGTGGGCGGGTCAGGGTGGTGGAGGGCACCTGGTGCCCACGTCCACTTCAGCCAGAGTCCGTGGCCTCCACCATTTTGTTTGTGGGATTGCCTTGGAAGAAAGCATCCCAAAGACCAGAAACTTTGAAAAACCACTGACTTAATCCATTCGTATTGTAACAGTAAGCCAGAAACTTTAAAGAAAATATGGACAGATTTAATACTCTTAAGAGTTAAAGAAAATTCTCCTTGTCCAAAGACTCCATAAGTGAGGTTAAGGGATAGTGAGAGAAAAATGTCTGTAGTATATTATGCTTACAGAAGGTTGATAGTCAATATGTAAAGAGCTTTAACAAACCAATAAGAAAATGGTGACCATTCCTATTGTATGATGAGCAGAGCACATGAATCTGCAGATCACAGTGGCTAATAATAAAAAGACCCAGCCTTCCTAATAAAGAACTTTAGCTGGAAGCATTTGTTTATGTCCACATATCAGCGCAGGCTGTTTGACAGCAACTGTTGATGGCGGTAATAGTAATTCTTATCTTCCACAGGTTTTGAGAAATTTAAATAAGCTAATATATGGAAAGTGCTTAGAGCAGAGTCTGGCACATCGTAAGCCCAATGTAAGCTTTGGCCATTATTAGTTATTGATTACTTGGTTGCTCTCAGGAAAAGTTTATGTGTCAAATTTTTAAATGGCCATTCCTTTTGTTCCAGCTATTCTACTTATTGGAATTTATTCCTAGGAAAGAATGTGATAAGCACATGGGTATCCAGATATGTACAGAATGTCACTGCTACATTGTTTATAGAGGTGATACTTACTGAACACATTTTGTTGTTTTTATCCTGTGGAAATCTACACGTCATTGCTGCAGTTTATAGAGGTGATACTTACTAAATACATTTTGGTATTTTTGTGCTGTGGAAATCTATGTGCGGGCTCACCAGGCAGCAGAGGCATGTGGCGTGTTAAGCGAAAGGATAAAGGGGGTCTGGGACAGCACCCAGCAGACCCATCCCTTCTGCTTTTCAAGTTCGCAGGTCTCCAGAGTGATAGCAGTGGCCTTCTGGGGTGCCAGGAAAATGGGATGTGCAGACTTTTATTGTCTCTTTATGTTTGTGAAGTGAAGTAAGTGGAAGTCGCTGAGTCGTGTCCAACTCTTTGCGACCCCAGGGACTATACAGTCCATGGAATTCTGCAGGTCAGAGTACTGGAGTGGGTAGTCTTTCCTTTCTCCAGGAGATCTTCCCAACCCAGGAATTGAACCGGGGTCCCCTGTATTGCAGACGGATTCTTTACCAGCTGAGCCACAAGGGAACCCCAAGAATACTGGAGTGAGTAGCCTACCCCTTCTCCAGGGTGTCTTCCTGACTCAGGAATTGAACCGGGGTCTCCTGCATTGCAGACGGATTCTTTACCAACTGAGCTACCAGGGAAGCCCCTTTTATGTTTGGTGATATTGTTTAAATTTTACACAATATATAAAAATAATGTCTGTAAGCATGTATCGCTTTTTAATAGTAATGCTTTCTCTTAAACTGATATTTCCATGGGGGAGGGGAGAATACTCTTCAATCTCAGTATTTATAAGGGAGGCAAACCAAATCCTTGGTAAGTTGATACATGTGCTTAGCGTCGAAGAATCGAGGGAATCTCTTTCTCTGGCTCTCGTAAGATCTCTGAGGCAGCGCTGGCCTCCTGGGTCTGGGCAGGCTCTGTCCTGGGTTGTGCTGCAGATGGTACCTGGGTGGTGGTGACCAGGGCAGATGCGTCCTGCCATTCCCATGCTCACCCCCTGCCATGTGGCCTGTGATCCTGCCCTCTGTTCCACTTACCTCATCCCGTAGCCCCATCCTGCTCGTCTGCTGGCTTCCCTGCTCCCTGCAAGCGCCTTTGGCCCCTGGGCCTTTGCACACACTGTTTGTTCTTGTAACTGCCTGTCTTCATCTCCTGTCTTCTCTGGTCCCTCAGTCCGGGCAGAGCCTTCAGTCCCTGTTGAGCATGGCCTCACACCGTTTCCCTCCTCCCTAACGGGATCTGCTGTGTGATTTCAGTGGCTCATTGCGACATCGGTGGTTGACTGTCACCTTTCTTACTAGCAGAGGCCTCTGTCGGGTGGAGGGGCCCTGAGGGCCTCCCGCTGGCCTGGTGCTTGGCACCCAGCAGTGTCCGCGTGGGCGGCTGGGCAGCCGGGCGCACGGCACCACACAGGGCCTGGGAGGAGAGCTTGGTGTGGGCTGGCCCCTGACCTCGTGGAGCCATCCGTTATCTGCCCGAGTGCTGGGATTGCCTGCTTCCTCCCGCCTCAGTCTGGGGACTCCTGATTCCGGAGATCGTATGCTCTTAAGTAGATGCCATAAATGCAAGGGAGTGGGTTTGTGATGCAGAGAGGAGCGAGAGGAAGGACAGCCTTAAACTCAGAGCTGTCAAGTGGCCAGCGGGGGCCTCCTGCACAGCCCGTGGCACGCAGCGTGACCTCGGCCGGAGGCCCGGGGCCCGTACTCCCGGTGGCTAGCCACTGCAGCCGTCAAAGGCCCTTTCCCCTGCTGGTTTCAGATCACAGTTAATGACGTTATTTAGACCTTTCTTATTTCACCTCATCATTTTAACATGATAGCTTCATACAGTTGCGTCTTTGAACATTTTGGAGCCTGCTCCCTTTAAAAACACGAATGCTAGACTGTGTTTGTTCACTGTTGTTTATGAAGTATTCTGTCTGTGTGGGTCAAGTGCTTCTGCTGGATCGCTGTTTGAGCTTGAAACAGTCAGTCAGTTCTTAGGGCCTGAAAGCCCGAGCCGGCCTTCCAAGTGGGAGGGTTGTTGTGCCCGTGGTTGGTGGAGCTGCGTGATCCCTTGGTAGCGGCCGTCAGCTGGCTGACATGGTGCTTTTGGCTGCAGTGGGTCTTTTTCAAACTCGGGGAGAGGAGTTTTGGTGACTCCCTGCCCCGCCGCTACCTACTCTCTCACCTCGTCTTGGGTGGGGGGAGGGTGAAGGGTTGTGGTGGTGACAGGGAGCCTGTTTCTAGAAAGTTTCTAATTGATCAGTTGCTGAGGAGTAAGGAATCCGCCTGTCATTGCAGGAGGTGCAGGTTCAATCCCTGGGGGAGGAAATGGCAACCCACTCCAGTCTTCTTGCCTGGAGAATTCCCTGGACAGAGGAACCTGGTGGGTACAGTCCGTGGGGTCACAAAGAGCCGAACACGACTGAGCGACTCAACAGCAAGAACTTTGCAAGCAGCCTGCACCCCACCCACACAGGGTGTTTTCCACGAGAGAGGAGGGGGTTGAACAGATGCTCTGGTGTTGAGGGGCCCAGAGGTGGGTCCTGTGGCTCCGTCTCAGTCAGGCCCCGGCCGCAAAGAGCCGGGTCGTTGGTGGGGACGAGGTAGGGGTGGGATAACCACACGCAGGTGCACCAGGCCGTGGGAGGCGGGGGTGGGGGAGACGGGCTGGGAGGGGAGTGCGGCCCTCCTCAGCTGGGGTGGTGTTGCGGGGCTGCTGCAGGGTGGAGAGGCATCCCACCCAGTGGCCCGGAGCTCCAGGAAGGAGGAGCTGGACACACAGATGGGCTGGCTGCTTTGCGAGTGTGCAGGCACCCTGCACAACACCAAGGCTTCTGAGCCTTTGTGCGGGGCAGCCAGCCTCTCTTGGGCTAGCCCGTCGAGACCTCTGAGGCCTGGGGCCCAGCCAGCCTCTCTCTGGAGCACGTGCCTGCAGCGTGGCGTGGACCCCCGCCTCTGGCAAGAAGCTGGGGTGGCCCACGCTGAGGGACAGGGGTCCTGGTCCCACACCCTCCAGGGGGGTGGCCCTTCCTCCCTCCCCGCCCCCCGCCAGTGTGATCCGGAGTCCTCTTCCAGGCCCAGGACTCCTGAGAGTAGCCGTCAGGGTCTGAGCCTCGGCAGTGAGTGTCAGGAGCATTCTGGAAGGGGCCCGAGCCAGCATCTCATCCAGCTGTTGGTTTTAAACATCAGGAGGGAGCCTGCTCTGAGCCCCTCTGGCCCCCGAGGGGCTTTCTGGCAGACCCTTTGGTGTCATGGCTGGAGCAGGACACCAGCAGGTCAGCAGAGCCCTGCGGAGGACGGGGCGGGAGGGCGGGGTGGTTCCAAGACGATGCTCAGGGCCCTCCCAGAACAGAGGTTCTGGCATCATGAGGGGCTGGGGGGCCTGATGAGCCTGCCCCCCCAGCTCTGGGGCTGCAAACACTGCCAGTGGGGTGGCGTTGTCTGCCAGGGCCTGCGACCCCTCCCCCCCCACCAAGGCAGGGGCCTGTAGTTGACGAGGAAAAGTGCAGAGGGAAGCACTCTGGGGGTGTGACCTGTGAAGAGTCATGGAGACGCGGTCAGGCAGTGCTCCAGTGGATCAGAACCCTCTCTGCTGGGAAATTCATGCAACATTTTGCACTGAAAATCCACAGTAGATGTTTCAGTCCTGTTCTTTGGAAAGCCTTCCTTTGCAGCGTAAGGGCTGAGGCGAGGTGCCTTCCCGGCCTTCTGGGTTGGAGGGATGCACTGCAGGACGCCTCACGGGGTGCTTACGTGCCTCCTGGTGTCTCCTCGCGAGGGCCTTGTTTTCCTTTCACCTTATGGTCCGCCTCTGGCCAGATTTGTAGCAGCCTGAGCATGATCTCTGACCTTTCCCCGTCTGTCCTTCCGGCTGGGAGCCCCCTGGGTGTGCGGGGCTGCTGCTGGCGGGCAGGGTCGGGTTGGCCATCTTGCTCAACACCTCCTGCCCCAGGGCTGGCGGAGGGCTGACCTTGGGGGTTTGGTGTTGACAACCCGCAGTGTAAAAGGCGTCCCCTAAATCCTCCCTGAGGAAGTGTCTCTCTGTGTCAGAGTGGATTGTCTTGGTCCACACGTGGGTGCGTCTGGATGGAGCTCCTGTTTTCTGAATTCGTCTAATCAAGGAGAGGACGGAGCTGAAGCGCAGAGAGGCACGCGGGGGGCCTCTGCGCTGTCTCGGGGCCTTCCTCTCCTTGTGGCTCCTCCTCGGACCTTGCCTTATGGGTGTGGGTCCCACCTGCGGACGCACTGCATGCTCTGCAGCAGGCGTTCAGGACGGTGTCCGCAGCCATCCGGGCTTCTTGTGGCGCGGGGGCGCAGAGGACAGACCGGGGGTGTCGAGGCGGCCGGGCCTGAGGGCTCAGCTTCACCGAGCACTTGGCTGGCGGGGGTGCCTCCTCTCTGCGAGCTGGGAGTCCTGAGCGGGGCTGGGAGGAGGGTTGCTCCCCGGGCCCCTCTCCCCAGGCTGGGTCTCAGGTGGGATGCTGTCTGCAAGGGGAGGGCTGGCGGCTGGGCCTTTGATGTCTGTTACGCACTCGCGGTCCCCCTGAGGTCCCCACGCCAGCTCCAGGCATCTCTCTGCCTGCTGAAGTCACGGCTGGGCGAGCGCCTCCCCGGAGGACCTCAGTCACGTTTGGGAGCCAGTTGTTGTCTGTCTTTGTCCTCGCAGGCACCCTTTCGTGGCTTGCAGAGATCCTGTTCTCGAAAGCTCAGCAGCACGCCTTCAAGTGTTAGCTCCCAGGGTGCTGCCCTGCATGAGAGGTGCCCGGCGCGGGGCCCAGCGGGGGCAGGGACTGCTCCGCCACCTCGTGGGGTCCTCGGCCGCTGTGGGATCTGTCCCCGGCCGATGGTGCAGAGGTCCCTGGTTGCCAGGTGGTCCGTGAGCCGGGGCGGTGGGCATCCATGGTGCTTCCTGGTGTCCACAGAGGGGCCCCTCCCGGGACCACATGGGTGCATGTTGCAAGCCCAGTTGCGAGTTTGCATTTCCCCCTCTTTTCATTATTGTTGATGAGGCACCATCTGGGACCCTGAGGACAGCGTGCCCCTCGCCTGCTGTGGCCTTGGACAGGAGCGGCCTCAGGGAAGCGGTGCGGCCTGAGTGCCTGGGCAGAGGTAGAGCCGTGGGGCCGGCTCCTGCTGGCAGTGCTCCCGGGGATGTGCTCCCGGGATGGGGGGAGGGGGCGGTTTAGAGACGGGGCGGCTGCTTCTGGCGCCCAGGGGTGCAGCCCTCCGGAGTGGCTCTGTAGTTGTGCCCGCGGGGCAGGTGACTGTGAGGTTGGATCAGGTGGCTTTCAGCAGATGGAGGAACAGGCTGGGGCCAGACTGTCCTCCCTGAGGTTGTGGGACCTGCACTTGACCAGGAGTTCTCCATGAGCGGCTCTCAGCGTGAGCAGGAGGGTGTCTGCAGGAGCTCTCGCTTAGAGAGGACCCCTCGCTCAGGGAGGACCCCTCCACAGCAGGTTCCGAGTGCACGGGATGGACTGACGTGCTTTCGGGAACGTGCAGGTGTGGCAGCGGTCAGGCAAGGCTCGATCCAGCTCCCCTGCAGCCTCATCAAGACCTTGTTTCTTTCTCCCACGCCGGGCGAGTCCACTTCCCGGTGCTGAGATGGCCCTGCTGGCTGCTGTCAGGACTACACGCTCTCTGGTCCCTGCCCACCAGGACGGACAGCAGAACTTCCTGGATTCACTTGCTCGCTCGGGCTCGGGTCCCTCGTCCACTCTGAACGGTTGCTTTGGCCAGGCAGGGATGTTGGATGCCCTGTGTAGGTCAGCCTCTTCCAGAGGCTGGCTGGGGAGTCAGCTGCCCTCCCGGGGACGTCGTTCTGATGGAGAGGGGGGGGCGGGCTTGAGGCTGAGGCGGGCCCTGCAGGCAGCGTCCCCCTCAGGCCCTGTCCTCTGCGGCCCCCGGCGGCAGTTCTGCACTGGCCTGTGTGCGGGCCCCCTGTGCGCAGCGCCATGCTGACCTACGGAGCTCGTCCAACGGAGCCGCGGGCAGCCTCTGCAGAGCACAGGCCCCCGTTCATGAGGAGGAGAGCGGGCTCAGCGAGGTCGGAAAGCGGGGTCTTGGCCAGGGCTCTCTGCTGGCCTCCTGGGTTTTGTTTCTTTGCCTGGTCATACATCGGGCCCTGGAGGTCGGGCTACTGGCCGATGGCAAAGCGGGGAGGGGTTAAGTAGGAGCCCATCGGGGCTTCTCTGCACTCCTCCAATGGCTGACTTGCAGGATGCGGCAGCCTCATGGAGCGACCCTTAGAGCAGGGACAGCGGAGCCGCGAGACGGGGGGCTGGGCCCTTCCAGCCAGCCAGCTGCTCTGCGGAAGTGGCCACGTGCCGGGGCATCCTGAGACTATGTGGGGTGGTCCTGTCTGCCCCGCCCCGCCCGTCACCTCAGCCTGTGTGTGGCGGGCCCGAGGACGAGACAGATGGGCTGACGCATCGGGGTGCCTCAGTCTTCCTGTCTGCGAAGTGGGCACAAGGGTTTCTGCTGTGGAAGATTGTCGTTGGGCTCTGGCGATGGTCAGGGGCCCGGCCCGGCCCTGCCAGGCTGCATGAGAGGAGGACGTGCCCTTGATGCTGGGCTCTGGTTCCCTGGATAGGGGCCCCCGCCTGCGTCTGGTGGCATTTCTTTCATGCCAGGCTCCCTGCTGTGGTTAAACACGCTCTGTTCGTCCTGCGCCCATGTGGCTTGGCTCCCCTTCCTGCTCCCGGCTGACTGTGGGGCAGCTGGCACCAGGGCAGGGAGCCTGATGGTTGGGGCTTGCCTCTGTGCCAGGCGGCGCGTCTGAGCCCTCGCCTTTATGTTCACGTGCGGGTTGGGGTGCACAGTGAGCCATCAGCCCTAGGTTGGAAGCGCAGGCCTTGTCCTGGGCTGCGCTGCTGGGTGGGGAAAGCGGAGTGTGCAGGCCTCGATGCAGACGGGTCCACACCGCCCCAGGGCGCTCCGCCTTCGCCCCGGCTGCAGGGCCCGAGCAAAGAGCCCTGGTGTGCTGCATCGTGACAGCGGGGGCGCAGGCCTCCTTCACTTCGTCCCTACTATGGTTCTGGGTGCTGTCTGCTCCCTGGGGTGGGAGGTGCCCCCAAGGGGGAGGCAGAGAACCTCTGGCCTGCACCCTTCCTGCCTGGAGGGCTTCCTTCTGGGAGGGGGGCTCTTCCCTGAGCCTGGAGGTGGAGGCTCTCCCGGCCGTCATGGTGGTGTGGCTGGCCCTGGGGTCCTTGCCGGGCAGGCCCCGCGGGACGGTGTGAGGAGGCACAGCCCGAGTTGTGGAGGGAGGCTGGGGGTGTGCGGGGGGCCTGGGCGGGCAGGCGCTCGGTGCTGGCGCCGCAGCCGTGGGCAGGCTGGCCCTGCCTCAGTGCCCTCCCCCTCCGGGCCCCTCTTCAGCTCACAGTGAGGTTCTGGGGTGCAGCCTTGGCGAGGGCGGCCCTGCCCTGCACACAGAGACGTGTGCACGCATGCCGAGGCACGCACGCACGCAGACGGGTACACGCGTGATCATCTGTGACGTGGGTCAGCCGGCGCCTATCATGGTCCTGTCGGGTAGACAGGAGCCGCTGGCCGGGCTGACCCCCTGCCCCCCGAGGAGCAGATTCTGGGGCGAGGGCGCCCTGATGCTCGGGTGATGAACCCCTCCTCGCGGCGCAGTTCTCCCCACTTCCTCATCGCCGAGCGGAGGTGCTCTGTGCCTCGATCCCTGCCAGCCGGGCGTCCTCAGGCACGAGGGCTGTGAGTGCTGTGCCCGCGCAGGGCTGGGGGCTCAGTGGGGCGGGACCTGCCTCTCCTGGGAAGGGCTTCCCCCAGCCGCACACATTCCGGCACTCCGGCTGGCCTGGAGGCGCGTCCCAGTGAGCAGGGCAGGCGCTGTGGGGCCTCGGCCTGTCGGTCAGCAGGTCCTCTGGGCCACACACCCTCTTCTGAGCTCACCCGTGGGGGCGCCCTTCTCCCCTGCAGCCCCAGCCCGCAAGTCCGTGTGGAGGGGCCACAGATGCGTGTCGCATGGCTCCTCCTGTGGCCGGGAAGCCATCACGTGACTGCAGTGACCCACTCCTGCTGCCCGTCTCTGCTCCGACCGCCGGAGCACCCTGGCCTTGGTGGGGCCCCGAGCGGCGCCGACGTGGGCAGGGCCGCATCTTGTCACTCCTCTGAACCGCTTCCTCGTCCCAGGCTCGTGTCCCTGCCCGAGTAGGGGCTCCTGACCACCTCTGTGGGGTGGCTGGTGGCCCCCTTCAGCTTTGGGAGCGAAGGAAGGCGGCGTCCCTTCCTGGAGCCTGTGGCCCTGGCCCCCGCTTCTCCTGCCCTCCGGGGGCCGTCACGAGGAGCGGGTGAGGCTCAGCGGGGCCCCCGCGCCCTGCTGTCATGCTGCCCTTCAGACGTGCCCAGGGCGGAGTCTGCAGGAACAGGGGCCTGTGTGTGCTCCTGACCATCTTGGGGCAAGGCTCTCTCCTGAGCTGTGCCCTGTGGGGAGTCCCCGGCCCTTCCGTGCGGCCCGTCATCGTAGGACGGGCGGCATCCGTGCTTCCCCAGGACCGTCGCTGCTCCAGCTCCGGACTCAGGACGGGCGCCCGGTGCCGAGCCGTAGCTGGGCCTGCCTCCTCCAGCCCCGGCCCCGCCATCGCCCGGGCCGGCTCCCCAGCGACGGTGCGGAGCATGGGCGCTTTTTTTTGCCCTCTGCGACGTGAACGGGTGTGGGGGCCCTTGGACTAGGGGAGCCACGAGTCAGAATTTCTCTGTAAGGCCTGGAGTCAGGCTGTTACCTGGGGGGCTGGGGGGAGGGATTGCCCCCATAGCAGGAGGGGCCCATGCCAGTCCTGCGGGGGGCTGCGTGCAGGGCCAAGGGGCCTGGGCTGGTGAGAGAATCAGGCACCGCTCTGCCCGGCCCGCGCTGCTCCCGCCCCTGGGCTCAGCTTGTCCTGTGCTGGCCTGTGCTCCAGAGGTACCGGGAGGAGCCGGGCGTCGCCAGGCCTTCCTGTTCCAGGCCGTGGACTGCGACACTCCAGAGTTTTGTTTAAGTTGTTAAGCTCTGAAAACCCTATCTGGGTGTGTTCTTTAATGGTCAGAAGTGGGGTGGGGCTCTTGGGATTGACAGTAGTGTAGCCAGTCTTCTGAGACAGCTGATCCATCTTCAGGGTCTTATCCATGCAGTCATTTTCTGGTTCATTAATGTTTCCCTGTGAGAGATACATACTCAAAAACGCCGTTTTGCGTGCCGCTTTACAGACTTCCTGGACCCTTTAAGCCCATCAAGGCCCAGGTTAAGCTTCCTGATACAGGGGAGCTTGGACGCGGGCAGCCCCGACGGCTCCTGGGGTCCAGAGAGCCCCAGCTTTCCGACCTTGGCTGGGGGCACAGGGCTGCCCGGGTCGCTCTTTCTCATCTCGGGGTGTCGTGGCTTCTCGTCTTGAGAGGTGCATGTGGGTCACATTCTGTGGGCCGCCAGCACACTCAGGATGGCCACCTTTGCCTCCAGCTTGGGTCCCGCACAGGAAAGCCCGCCCGCGCTCTGGGGCGGATCGCCGCAGCCTCTCTTGGTCTGCCTCTCGTTTCTGCCTCGCGGCCGGCTTTCTCGGGCTTGTGTCTGGGTGCGTCCCCGCTGAGAGTTCCAAGCTGGGTCAGGGCACCGGGGCATGCGCCTGCCTTCCAGCTGCAGCGCTGGCGGCCTTGGGGCTCACGTGGGGCAGAAAGGAGTCAGTTGTCATTGGTTATCCAGCCGCCTTTCAGTGGTCAGACTGGAAAGCGAACATTCCTTTGTGGCTTCACCGTGGACTGTGTGTGTGCTGAGGACTTCGCTGTGATTTTTGGAGAAGTCAGGTGCTGAGGCACCTTTTCTGGCCGGGTGGTTAAGAAACCGGGCCTTGTCCCTGCCCTGCCCACCGTCCCTGTCCTGGCCCCCGGCCTTACCTCCATCACATCTGTTCCCCATCTGACTCCATCTCCCAACAGCCAGTCTCATTCTTTGGGGATCCTAGCTCAGGACAGGGGAGTTTGCTCACAAACGGTCAAGCCTCAAAGTTGCAGTGTGAGTGACGGGTCCGCTTAGCGAGGCTCAGAGCAATGCAGGATCTTGGGAAGGTGGGCCCCAGGAAGCTGCTGGGGGGAGCAGGTAGGGGAGTGGTGGGCATCAGAAGTAGGCGTGTCTTCCTGGGTGTTGGCAGCCTGGCCAGAAGCCGGCGAAATCAGTGAGCGAGACACTCCTGTAAATCACCTTAATGTTAATACAGACATGCGTGTGATGTGGGTGTGTTTGAAGCAGGATGCATGCTTTACCTGATTTCTTAGGTGAAATAGAAGCTGTCACATAAGCTCCCACCTGGGGTGGGCTGGCTTCTCCTGGTCTCCCGTTGCCAGGAGCTCAGAGAAGGAGCCAGGGAGACCCTCTGCCTGAGGCCCTCTGTGGCCAGGGTCCCGCGGACCCCCACTGCGGAGGGCCCTGTGGCGGTGGGGCTGTAGCCAGGCCCTGGGTGACCGTTGAGGTCACTACCGGTGGTCCTGCAGCTGTAGGCTCAGAGAGGCGTGGAGTAGGGCCTCAGAGTGTTTTACTAAAGCATTTCCAGTATCATTAATATTGGGCTTCCCTGCTGGCTCAGTCAGTAAAGAACCCACCTGCAGTGCAGGAGACCTAGGTTCCATCCCTGGGTCGGGAAGAGCCCCTGAAGAAGGGAATGGCAACCCACTCCAGTATTCCTGCCTGGAGAATCCCATGAATGGAAAAGCCTAGTGGGCTGCAGTCCATGGGGTCACTAAGAGTCGGGCATGACTGAGCAGCCAATATTAAAGGAACAAAATTGGGAGAAGAGATCAGCAATATAAATAAGCAGTCACTGTAATTGGGAAAATACTAATGATTTAATTTGCATACGTGGCCGAAGCATTTTTTTATGACTGCCTCGATAATAAAAGACAGGCTGAAGATCACAAATGAAGCAAATAAAGAAATCCATTAATTCTCCTATTCATTTTCTAAAAAACAAATGGTACTCCTGGCTCTCACAGTGACAGTTTAATGATTAGGGTGCCTAATTTTAATCCGTTACGTGGGTGCGTGCCCCACTGAGCTTGGGAACCCAGCTCCCGTTGGTGTGGTTGTGTGCGGTGAAGAGTACAGAGATCCGGGGGACCTCAGGTGAGATCAGAGTCTGGCAGCCCTCTGCCCGCTCCCCGCCTGCCGGAGCGCCGGCCTTGGCGGGCGGAGCCTGTGCGTGATGCCCTGGGTGGTGCCCTCAGGGAGGCAGTTTCTCGCCCCAAGACGATTTGGAGGTTGCCAGAGCCAAGGTTGAGAAGCCCTCCGGTCGAGTGCAGAACATACCATTTCCTTAAGCATGAAGGCAGACGGCACTGCATTTGGTTCAAGGCGGGTTTGGTTCTAGTGCACAGTCGTGTAACTTGAAAGAGTAATCTCGAAACCACTTGTGGACAAGTTACACACGTCATTTACCAGGTTGGGGTGAGGACCTGAAGTCAGCTTGCAGTTACATTTTTTTGCATGTGAATAAAATGCACCTTTATTCTCTCCTTTTCATTTCTTTTGAATTTGAAAAATGGGTTTCAATTCCCCAGACCTTACATTTTCCTAGCTAAAGCGTGTTTTGCATGCAGATGTAGTTAGATAACAAAGAGGCATGTTTGTGTTGTAGTGACTACATTAAAAAAAGAAAAAAGGGATATTGCTGAATTGTAAATTGTATTTTTAGAACACGCTAAACCAAAGTGCGAGGGTCATTTGTCTCCCACTGCAGCTCAGCTGGCTTCATGTTTTCATTAATGATTGAGAACGGCCATTCGGGAAGGCAACGCCCTTACTCTTAATTCTTAGGATCTGCTTCTTTCATAAGTGTGCATGTTTGTCGCCTGCTTAGGGGACAGCTCGGTTGCCACAAATACTCTTTACGATGTGTTGCTGGGTAAGGCTGTTTAGTCGCGTTTGGTCACTTTGTCAGGTGGTCAGGACACAGGCGTTTGTTTGCTGTCACACCCTGGAGGTTATGCTGAAGAGGGGTCTCTGATGAGTAGGAAGCATCGCTGTGTGCTGGGAAGTTCAGAGTCAGTGCGTTTCCTTAGTTTCTGAAATGGAATTGCAAGGCTAGGTGGAGAATGACGCCCAGCAGGCATCTGTGAAGTTGGGGACAAAGAAGGGAAATGGTCCACATTGTAAAGAAATCGGGCAGTTCACTGGATGTGTGTGTGCGTGTGTGTGTATCTGAGGAAAGAAGGGAGCAGGGCACAACCATTAACAGCAGGAGACGACAACAGGTTAGAACCATCTTGGCCCAAGATGACAGAAGGTCCTGCTTCCAGTAGACCCCGAGCCTCATTATATATGTTGTAATATATATAGAGAGAGAGCTCATTGTAATATATTCGCATCTAAATGACATACCCACAGGAACCACGACCATAAAAGGCCAGAAAGGGGGTGGTGCCCCAGTGCCTAGAAATGCCCACCCCTTCTTTGAAGACAGAATATTCCTCCCACTTGTCATCCTGTGAAGTTACCCAGCCCATAAACACTAACCACCCCCGCACTAGGGGCCCCCTCACACTTTCCAAGAGGACCCCATGCCCCAGGGCTGACTCTTGACTTCTGAGAAGGACTGCACTGTCTGTGTAGCGTGCATCTCTTTAAATAAGCCTGCTTTCCTCACTCTTGAGTTCTTTCCTGCATGAACCAGGGATCCTCACTTGGCAGCCCGTACCAGGAACTCAGCACGTGGGACACAGCCATCCTCTTGTGCCCCATTTCCCCCCTGCAACATATTTTCTGGCGACCATGATGGGACAGTCCCAATAAATATGGAAGGGACCCCAAAGGGCATAATCCTGATCCCCTATTGGGCTAGGGCTCCCCACAGTGCAGGGTGACTGGGACTCGTACTGAGCTGTGTAATCTGTCTGTTTGACTCAGGGCCGAGCTCTCCTTTCCTACGTCTCTGAGGGGTTCAGGCCCTGGGACTCTGGTTGCCTTTCTTGCACTAGCTGTTGTTCCTTTCCTTGATTAATCCAAGGGGCCTCCTCAGGCCAACCACGCAGGCAGATTTTGGGTGCCCACAAGGACCCCACTGTTGCTTTTCCCAGTTTTGCTTGCTTAATTAAATATTTTTTCTGCTGAATTCTAGGAGTCGGGTTTTTACAGATCAGTCCAATTATCCCATCTCCTGAAGTGCCATTGGAACTTTTCTCCATGGCACTCCCTTGAGGGGGCCCACCCACTAAGGTCTCTGCACCACACTCCCTTAGATTTTTTGACTATCAGGGATAGTGCTGGGACAAATAACCACCATCTGCCCAGGATCCATCAGACCCCTGTCTTGTGGCATCTTAACCAAAATGGGGAAGACCCATACATCCAAATGTTTGCAAACCTATCCTACAGTCCAGGTCTAAAGACCTCCTGCTGGGTGTGCCTGGGTGAATTCCCTTAAAGGTTCCTTCTTTCCCAACAGGAGCCTTGTGTTTTACACAATCCCTTTATGAGACCAGGGCTTCCCTGGAGGCTCAGACGGTCAAGCGTCTGCCTGCAATGCAAGAGACCCAGGTTCAATGCCTGGGTTGGAAAGATTCCCTAGGAGAAGGCAATGGCAACCCACTCCTGTGCTCTTGCCTGGAAAATCCCATGGACTGAGGAGCCTGGTGGGCTGTAGTTCATGGGGTCGCAAGGAGACCGACACGGCTGAGCAACTTCACTTTCACTTTATGAGACCACCTCCCTGAGGTCCACCACTGGGAACTCCTGCCAACCCCAGTTCTGAGAGGCTGACAGTCCTCTGGACCATCTACCTCTGATGTCACAACCGGGGGGCTGGAGACCCCAGACCCCTGTGAATCAGCGCATGGACTTGGCCTTCAGAGTATTCAACAATAGAGATACGGTGAAGAGGCAGGACCATTCAGGGACAACAGCAAAAGTCATCATTGGTGGCGGCAGCCCTAACCCCTGCACCACCTCAGGGCTACCATCTCTACAGACGCCCATGGTGGGGACGGGGTCCAGGAAGCCTGGATCATAGCCACTGTCTTGCCAGGAAAGGGTCGATCTGTTTTAAGTGCGGCCAAGAGGGCCCCTGCAAGGATGAATGCCCCCTGTGTGGGAAAAGTCCATCGGGATCCTGCCCAGTACGCAAATGACAGGATGATGACAAAAACTCGTCCTCCGTGTACCAGAGCTGAACTGAATTTTGGAGACAGTGTTTTGGACGAAGCAGAAAAGAATAGCTTTATTGCTTTGCCAGGCAAAGGGGGCATAGCAGGCTCCTGCCCTGAAAAGCTGTGTCCCAACCCAGGAGCGTTTGGTGAGGAGTTTCTAGCAGCGGCTCAAGGGCAGGGCTGCTGGTACAGACAAGGATGAGCGCAGGGACTGCGCCCCTTTGATCTGGCCTCGGGTCCTGATGAGCTTCCTAGGGATA